ACTATTAGATATACTTGGTAAGTACTTAATATGGAAACAAGGAATTTATATCTAGTGGAGGCCTTATTATATCTGTACCTACTCTTACAGACTGCTTATTTCCTCTTCAAAAGCTATATGTTTAAATCCTAGGAGGTGGGGGCTTTGGGAAATAGTTAGCTCATGAGAGTGGAGCTCTCATGAATGGGATATGTACCCTTATATGCAGAAACACTAGTGAGATGAGTTCTCGTCCAAACATGTGAGGACACAAGGAGAAGATAGCTATCTGCAAACCAGAAATTAATATTTGTTTTTTAAGCCACCTAGCTTAATATTTTTAATTGGCTAAGTGAGGGCAGGGAAGATAGGCTAAATATCTGACCATATTTATACAGAATGAGCTAGATATAGCCACTAGAAAAAGGAAATCAAAGTGATGTTACCAAAAGAAGATAGTACAGATAAAGCAGAGAAATGGATAAGAAGATAGTACAGATAAAGCAGATAAATGTGCTTTACAAAAGATAAAGCACAAACAAAAAATCAAATGCTTGCTTCAGCAGCTTGTTGTGTATGAATAGAGAAAAACTGAGGTAAAGACAAGGAAAAATAAATAAGGCCAGTAGAATGTTAGAGTAGCCTAATTTGGCTGAATAAATGACAGAATGAGCCAGACTTTGGCTTGCTGGTCATCTCCACCTTTCCCTTTCTACACACCCTCCACCATCCCAATCAGTGAACTATTCTCCCCAGTTTACATTAAGTTTATAAGGTGCATGTCATTCCAGAAGTTGTTGGAGGGGAAAGTTGAGCCAATGTTCATGCCCGTGAATGAGGTATGAGATTTCTCTGGCCAGCTACTAGCAATCAGACCGTTGGCACAAACATTATAGAGCCTGATAGATTTCTCCCTCAACCTTAGGAAGATTGTCTCACTTTAGCTACAAGGTTAAGACTAGCAATTTTTCTTACGGAATATACCAAGGAGATTCTGTTCATATGATCCAAGAAGTGTTTGTCTCTGCTTCCTCAATCTAAGCATTCAGATAGTGGGGGGGACAAAGCAGTTCCACTGCAGATATTTAAGAAAACTTGTAAGTGCAGAGATGCACACCATTTTCAAGTGGTAATATGTAGATTTTCCCCCCAAATAATTCATCAGAGTTGATTCCCTGATGCTTTTCACAATCCCTCCATCTTTGCTTTGAACCCGGTGCCAAATAATTTGAGCGAGTTTCAGTTTCCTCATTTGTAATATGAAGAATTTGAATTAACTTCTCTCCTAAGGGTTCTTCTTAAGTTATACTTTGATGTCAGGTTGAAAACTTGTTTGTGGTCATGCTGAGAAAGAAGACTGCTTTAGGCTCTGAAGTTTCGTCTCAAATGGGTGATGGTCTTCAGAAGCAGGATCATAGGGTTCAAATCCTTCCCAGATCTCTTATCGACAAATGAGTGATTTCAGAAGGTGTTATATCTTTTAATCTATTGTTTTACTTTGTAAAATAAAGATAATGACGTTTTTCACAATTAAGTGAAATAATTCAATAACTATTAAAAATAATAGTAAGTAAAAACCACTGAATTTTGTTGAAGAGATGAGTACACAGCTAAGGGACACTGGACTGGACAGTGCTATGCTTGATGGAAGGATTCATGTGGACATCCTATGAGCTACCAGATTTAGGTAGCAATAACAAATGACAAAAACAGAAACTTTACCGACAAACAATAACAATAAAATAAAAAAATTACAGCTATGGAAAATAAGGTAGCAATTTATTTATTTTAATAATAGATAGCATTTATTGAATAGTATGTAGAATCTTCTATTTTTTGCTTATTTTAAAATATTAACTTATATACCTGAAATCAGGCATTCTTGAGACTCAGACTCTCTTTTTAGCTCACTCATTGCCCACTATCTGTTGCTTAATTTTTCTCTAAGTAAAATTTATAATAAAAAACATTCTTTTAAACGTGTATATACATATTGTATATATGTATGTAAAACATTTCATATACACATATATCTATTGGGATCATGTACAGTTGCAAATGACAGAAACGCATAATAGTTTTAGAAAATGAGTACACACTTTTTCCTCATATAAAAAGATTTATTAAGGTGAATATTTGCTGATATTATTTTAGCTGCTCACTGAAACCATTAAGGACCCAGGCTGTTTCTAACTTTAACTCTAATATCCTGAGTATGTTGGATTTTTCCTTGTGCCAGTCACTTTATGGTCAGAATATGGCTAATATATCTGAGATACCAAATCTAGTTCAATGAATAAAAAAATCCCATCTTTCTGTGTTAGGTCTCAATGGCCAGAACATAGCTATCAGAAGCTGTAAGGACAGCTAGGAAAGTGGGGAGCTAGATTGTATAACTGTTTCCAACCACTGGGATCCATGTCCTGGGGCTAAGTATGTTTGGACTTGAAATTAAATCATGGTTCTCAATAAGAAAGAATATAGGAAAGAATATTGGGTAGGCAACTAGCAGAATTTGCAATAACAAAGATAGTGGGTAAATAAAATGGACTTACTTGTAAGATGCTGTGACAAATTGTGATGGACGATAAAGTATTTATGAAATATAAGGCAGGAAAAGTCCTTCCAAAACAAATTCAGTAATTTGTGACAATTCATTTTAATTAATGAAAAAATCTATATCAGTTTCATAAGCTGCAGCAGGTTCTTTCATAGGGGAATAAAGGTATTGACATACTCATATCAATAAATTAAAAAATCAAAAATATATTAAAGTCGCTGAGTGAATACACAGCCTTTTTGGTTGTTTGTTGTTGTGTTTTTTTGTGTGTGTGTGTGTGTGTTTACATTGATAAATCTTGTGAGAGCTAATGTGGCATATTTGTAGTAGCAGAAATGGTTTTAAACTGATAATATCCATATTTTCAGGAACAATAATCCTGAACTACACATGTGAGCTTATCCATGTTACATACATTAGGTGAATGATTCTTTACCTTGGTGGACAGACTACATCTATTGTTCTATCATTAGCATATTCTTTGGCTACCAGAAAACATCTCTTCACTTGGCATGTCCCACATATTAGACAGTAAGAAAGATAGAGTGCAGTTGCTGAAGGACCTGTAGACTGAGAACTTGGCAGAGAACAGTCAGGCATGATCATGCTCCGTAGCTATGATGAACTAGCAAGGATAAGCAAGTTCGGCTGGCCTGAAAAGATCAAGGGAGAAAAACAGAATTTCAGGACTTCTAGTTATCAACTATTTCAGGGCATTTGAAGATGTAAATACTAGGTAATTGTTGATATCAGTGCTGGTAGTTTTGAGTGACTTCCATTTCTGACTGCTCTGCTGCTTGACTGAATTTGGAAAACTCTATGTGCAAGCATTCTGGATGTAATATCTATATGCACCCAATAAGCAATATGTTTTCCTTTGGTGTAACTTGTTTGTCACTACTATGTTATACTGGGTGAAAAAATAAATTAAGACTATTTACTGAAATATATGAGAAACACTATTTGGAGAGTAAGGATTTTGATAGTGAATTTAGTTAAAAATTGTATTTCTTATGGCATCTTACTGAGGATGTACCAACAGATTAAGAGGCAACTAAAACAATGGATTTGAAAACTCCAGAAATGTTGCAGTTTGCAAATATATTAACTACTATTTGAGTAAAAAATGTTTGTATCCATATATGCACACCCACTGAATGTTACCTTTATGTGGTCATAGTGGTGTAAATAGATTGATGGACTGTAATTTCAATATTCAAAAGGATTTGAAGAGAATATGATTTTGTGACTATTATAGATTTTCTCTTTCTTCTGTCACTAATTCTTTGTCTTGACTCAACTACCCAAATATATTTGAAAATTAAAGGTTTTAATAATTTTTACTTATATTTTTATAGATAGTTTGATTTAGAATTCACTTTCAAGTATAAGAATAAAAAGAGCCTTAGATTAATCTTCATAATTTCATACAATTGTCTTTAAATATTTATCTTTAAATTAATCTTGGCCTCACCCCAGTGGCTTAGTTGGTTGGAGAGTTGTCCCTTACACCCAAAAGGTTGTGGGATCAGTTCCTGGTCAGGGCACGTACCTAGATGATGGGTTCCATCCCCAGATGGTCACATACGGGAGGCAACTGATTGATGTTTCTCTCTCACATCAATGTTTCTCTCTCCCTTCTTCTCTCTCTAAAATCAATAAACATATCCTTGGGTGAGGATTAAAAAAATTAATCTTGGGTAAACCCACAATATTAGCTTGCTTACCTATAGCCAACTTATTTTTCATTAATGGCATTAATGGCAAATATTAGATTATAATAGCAAATAAACTCAAAATTATTTCTGTAATAATAACATAATACTTATAATAAAATCTTGATTTCTAGTTATGAACATCTGCACATTTTATAGGACAGATAAATCAATTTGATTTTATAAAGGAAATAAAACATTAATATTTGTGTAGCTTTTTCATTTTTTATATTACCATACTTATCTTAACCCATAGTAACTTTAAATAAAAATCTTGTCAAACTTTTAAGTGAAATAAGCCAGTCACAAAAGGGAAATATTTTATGATTCTACTCACATGAGATACCTTCAGTCAAATTCATAGAGACAGAAAAGTAGTGTAGTGCTTGCCAGAGGCTAGAGAAAAGGGAAAATGTGAAATAGAAAAAAAAAATCTTGTTGGTTATTCAATAAGCTATACTATGGCATTTCAGTATTAGCTCAGGAGTAATACATACATTCTGCCTTCATTCTAAATGAAAAATAAATTAAAGAATTCATGTAAAACACCAGGCACACACCTGGTAGACAATTATTATCTCAGTAAATGTTATATTTTATTATTATGGCAGTAAATGTCTTAGGTCAAAAGAGCAATGTGAAATGATGCATCTTTTAAATAGGTTCATGTGTATATTTATAACAGAATCAGATTACAATTTAAAATATTTTTCAACATTCTTTATTAAGAAACTCTATTATTCTAGGAGGAATTGTTGATAAGGATCTTCGTCACTACCTCAACTTACGATTTCAGAAGGGTTCCGTGGACCACGAACTTCAGCAAATCATTCGTGACAACCTCTACCTCCGCACAGTGCCATGTGAGTATAACAGGCGATTTTATTTTCTATTTTAACAGATAAATGTTCAGCAATATACCCATTGTGTCAAAGAAAAGTTAAATCACACTGATATTTATGGTGGGCATTTGGGACAGAAAACTTATTTGAGATATGGAAGTTTTAAATGCAAAAGTTTATAATTGCAATTGTGTGGTTCATGATGAAGTTGTAGCCAGAAGAGACTTTTGGTTTTTAAGCTATAAAACCTAACTTACTTCTCCAGTTAATATTGAGAAATATGAATTCTAGTCCAGGATGTTGGTGATTCAGAATGACTCATGATCGGGGTAGAGCTCCACACCAGGAAATGTAAATTGAATTTATTAGCTGAAGTCACAGTGACTCCCAGCCTCATCTCTGGTTTGTAACAGAGGAATCTCATAAATGAACAGGAAATTGTTCATTGGAAAGTGAAGCTAAATGTCCTGTACCTCTTAGAAAGTGATGTTGTTGAGTGTTGAATACAAATCTCTTATATGAAACCTATAGAAATCCACAATAATCCCTGATTATGAACAGGTGCACTTCAAAAGAGAGGAGTTGGTAAAATGATGAAACTTACAAATCAACTTCTTAGTACCTGTTACAGCTCATTTGAGAATTTTCCATAACTGTGTGACAATTCAAGGATTTTTCAAGATAGGTCTTGGATCTTAGATAGATATCAAAATCTACGTCCTCAAGGTAGAGTCCAGGATCTCCAGAGACTTTTCAGTATCTCCAGAAATTCAGATTGGTGGGTGTTGTGTGTATTCCTTTTGTTTCAGTTCTGCTCTAAACTTAACAAACTCAAAGCTATGGGCTCTGAAAGGTATATATTTAAAAAATAAAAACTTGGCTAGGAAAAATAAAGCAAATTATATATATCACCCCCCTGGGATAGAAGTACCAGACCATGTAAAATGTATAGGTCATGGATGATTATACTGAAATGCTGATAACAAACAGAGAGTGAAGTGAATAATTCAGCACCCTACCCTTTTCACCTACACACATTTTGGGAAGATGGACTCTTGCCATTGTTAGCACTGTCTGTTCATTAAAATAGATATGCCAGGGCAGCATTATCAAATATTCCTAATTGAGAATGCTTGTTAATTGATATTTTGTCAGTGTGTGTTAGTTAAGTGAATAGACCTTTGGACTCTTACTTTAAAACTAGAAGTTGAGAAAAGTGCATCCTTAAATTTGTAAGTTTAGCCTTAGAGTGATGACAGAGGAAGATGGATTAAAGTAAGTGACTGTACTATTTCTAAGGTAACGGTGGACTCATTTTCAAAGCTGTGATGTTGTCGGTGCAGCTGTGTAAATTTATCTTTTGTGACATGAGAGAAAGGAAATATGAAATACCAAATAAAGAATCTGGGCACTTTATTATGTTTAAAAGCTGAGAGAAATAGATAAGAGGCTGACATTCAGGAATACTTGTAGTCATTGCTAAGGCAATGAAACAAATAGGTCTTAATTAAATATGAAGATAATAGAAGTAAATTTCACATTAGTTAATTAGCTTCATAAATAAGTCATCTCTCTTTAGATACCAAAGAAATACTCTGAAGGAAAAATAAATATAAGGGTAAAATAACTTGGCTTATATGAGTAAACATAGAGTTTCATGATGTGATTTTAGTACAAGGTCATAAATTCAATTAGAAATTGGTGAATAGCTCCTATAAAGAAGATGATTAGAAACTCAATGAATCTGAATATTATATTAATGCAATTATTTTTTTAATTTGTAACTGCCACTTTTATAGACAATTCCAATAACAGCATTTACTAGCAATACTCTTAACTTGATATAAAAGTTAAAAAATATCTTAGATAGAGACGATTCTGATTTATATTATCTGTAATCACTTTTTTACTGATTGGACCTAAGCAATCCACTATCTTTACTCAGTATATCTTTTAATGACATGTTCAGACACTTCCAGAGACTGTGCAGCAAAAATGTGTCAGGAGTGTGAAAAATCCTGTCATAATTTAGAAACTTAAAAGTGTATTCAGTGTATCTATTGGCCTTGGGTATGTTGTGACATTTCTTACGTAGTCTCTTTTGTCAAAAAAGTCTGATTGGTTTTCATGTGTACCCAGCAACATAAAAGGAAAATGTTACTGAAGAGCTTGTCACTGCTCGTATACAGGCATAAGTTAATATGTATACCTCTGTATATCTACTGATGGCACCAGGAATAAGTCCCGGATAACTCAATGGAAACAAAACTAGTCAGCTTGTAACTATGTGAGGGTGGTTTAAATTTCTTAAAAGGAAGACCCAACTGAGTAATTCTGCTCACTGCCACCACCAACTACAACTACAACTACAACTACAACTACAACTACAACTACAACTACAACTACAAAGGAGCAACGTCTTAGGGCTTGATTTTTTTTGGTCTCTAGTAAGAAAGAGTTCTGGGATGAGGGCTCCAGAGACTCGCTCCCTCACACACAGCATGCACACTCAACCCATTTTAGTTGTGGACAACTCGACTCCTCTACCCGCTTCTGAAGGAAGTCTGGACCTGGCTGCTGGCTGGTTTCTGTTCTACACATGGGAGGGAGGTGGACAGTCCAGGTTTCTACGAGGCCTTCACTGTAGATAATAATACATTTCATTCATCTTTTCCAGCCCATAAACAAGGATTGGCTATATTTGGCCATTTCACTTGTTTCCCTAGAACATTGTCTCAAACCTTATTCTTCAAAATCACTGCTTTTAAAGCTGTATCTCTAGGAAGAGAAGGTGGGACTTGGTCACAGAGAATTGTTGGGCATATGATGAAGATGAGTGCACACACATGCACACATTTGCACACATAGCAGCTCTCATGATATCAGTTTGTCATTCTTTGAAATTGAATCGTAGGAAAAAGATCCTTAGGAACGGAGTCTTTGGATCTTGATATTTTCTGTAGATTAGCCAGTTGCATGATTTATATTCATTAAGACCTAAATTTGTACATAAACTTGTGCCTTTTAGCTGCTAACTGTATAATTTATAGGGTTATAAATGGTCTTAAGATCCCGTTGTTTTAAAGTGAATGTTAATTTTTAAATAAATATAGTAAATAATTTTTTTTACTATTAGATTTCAGGCTATATAGAATTTTTATGTAATGGAACTTTAAGGAAAATGAGTAAATAATGATGAGACAAAACTGCTGTAATCTGGAATATGATAAAGATTAACCGAGAAAGATATACATATATGTATAAAAGACTCAACATACTTCAGAATATCCATCAAATGGGATTTCAATTACCTTGAAAGTACACAAAAGACAAATTCAGAAGCACTAAGTTAGCATTTATTCAGAGTTTGCATGGGATTGTTTTATAATACTAGAGGCCCGGTGCATGAAATTCATGCATGGGGGGGGGGTTGTCCGCTCAGCCCAGCCTGCACCCTCTTCCAATCAGGACCCCTCGGGGAATGTCCAACTGCCAGTTTAGGCCCGATCCCAGGGATTGAGCCTAAACCGGCATCAGACATCCCTCTCACAATCCTGTACCGTTAGCTCCTAATCACTCACCTGCCTGCCTGGATGCCCCTAACTGCCCCCCTGCTGGCCTGGTTGCCCCTAACTGCCCCCCTCTGCTGGCCAAGTTGCCCCCAACTGCCCCCCTGCCAGCCTGGTCCCCTCTTACTGCCCCTCCTGCTGGCGTGGTTGAGCCAAACTGCTACCCTCTGCCAGCTGAGTTGCCCCTAACTGCCTCCCCCTGCCAGCCTAATCATCCCCAATTGTACCCCCTGCCAGCCTGGTTTCCCCCAACTGCCACCCTGCTGGCCTGATCCCCTCTTACTGCCCCTCCTGCCGGCCTGGTCACCCCCAACTGCCCTCCCTGCTGGCTTGGTCACCCCATGCAGCCTGCTGTTCAGTCGTTCAGTCATCCCCCCCTAACCCCCAACAGGCCTGGTCGCTCCACGCAGCCTGCTTGTTCAGTTGTTTTGGTTGTCCCTCACTAACCCTCCTGCCGGCCTGGTCACCCCATGCAGCCTGCTTGTTCAGTTGTTTGATCGGCCTGGTCATAGGCAGCCATCTTGTGATGGTGTGAGGGTTAATTTGCATATTACCTCTTTATTATATAGGATGTGAGGTATACAAATTTAAGGCAGCATGTATCTGTTGTCTTTTGCATAATATAAATTCAAAAGTTTATGAGGGAAATTTGTGGAATTAATACAGAAGATTATTGTATTAATTTTCAAATGGATAAGAGTAAAAATTGACTTTATTTTGGTATCAATATTTTACTGAGTATAATGATTGCATATAGTTAACTCTTGAGTCTAATCAACATTGATTCAATTGAATATGGTTTTTAAATATTAGAAAAATAATCACTTTCATTTATTTATGAAGTTCTGGGCCTTTCTATCCTTAACATTTATTAGAAATACAAATTAATTTTTGAGGCAGAATGAGCACAGCCACATATTTTAAATATTTTTCTGCCATCATGCCAGATGACATGAGGAAGGTTTTCAACAACCAATTTTTAAAGTTTCAAAATGAAATGAAAGGTAGTTAAAATTAAACTTTTCTCCCAAGACCATACTTTGTCATTTGTTGAGATGGTATAATTGGGAACTACTTTAAATTTATTTGAAGACAAAAGAAATACCAGTGTATACCAAGTAAAAGACAAAAATCAATAAAATGAAAGTTCTGAAACTACATAAAGTGTGAATAAAATGAGAACCATAGATTTAAGATATGAAAGAAATTACTTTTATGAAAGAGCCAATTGAGGTGTAACTCACAATGATGTTTCTACATATTTAATAACTTTAAGTTAGTATAACTCTGCTATGTTATAAAGAAGCATTCTTAAGAATGAGATTGTAAGTTTTCCAATATATTTTTTAAATTTCTCTATTCTACTAAATTATTTTTCATGAAGAAGCAAGTAGAAGCAATAAAGTTATAGGAGCCATCTCCTTTTAAGATGCGTAGTTACCAACACTTCAA